CACATTCGTGCGGGCAGCGAGCGCGATGCGCCCCGCGCCCGGCGCTGCGGAATAGCGCGGCCGCCGCTCGCCCTCCGCGGGCCGGGACCCCGCCGCCGGCCGTTCCCTCTTGATGTCCATGAATGCAAACACCATGATTTTCATGATCCTGGGCGCCTCTGTCGTTATGGTAAGAGATTTTTTGCTTATCTCCCCTCCCCTCCATGGTTCCCCCCCCCATCATCACCACCTCACCATCACCTCCCCGCCTCCCTTCCACCTTCCCCCGGCGCTGTCCCTCGGCCCGGGCACCTCCGTGCGTGTGTGCCCCGCTGTTCCCTCCATGCCTGGCAATCGGACTGGGGTCAGCGTTCCGCCCCGGCGCCCGGAGCTGACCCCATGCCTCGCTCGTGGGCTCTTACAGGCAATAGCTTGCTTGATGGACATGAACGCCTTGCTGGACAGATTTCACAATTACATCCTGCCGCACCTCCGGGGGGAGGACCGAGTTTGTCACTGCAACTGTGGAAGGTGAGTGACCTGCCCGGCGTCCCCTGCCCCCGGGGGGGAGGTGACAGCGACAGGAGCTGCTGCCTGCCAGCCCGGCTCCCCTTTCTGCATTCTGCCCGTGCCTCACCTTCCCCAGCAGCTCCTGCATGAGCAGGGAGAGGGGGGGTGGTGCTGGCGGTGGGGGTTGTTTGTTTTTTTATTTTCTGTGAGTTTGGGAGCGTGTTTTCCTCTGTGTGCGGAGGGAGAGTGAGTAACTTTGATTGCAGCGTTTGTCACTTTGCCTTTTGTCGGGCCGTGCTGGTGCCCAGGCTGTTTGTGCTCTGGGTGTTGCAGTCGCTGGTGGTTTGTGTGGCTCAGAAATGGAACTGGGGCTTGGGGGAAATGGGGATTTCCTCCGAGGAAAGAGGAATGGGAAGCAGAGGATCCCTGTCCAGGCTGGAACGTGGCTGCCCAGCAGCAAGGACAGAGTGGCTCGGTGGCTTTGCAATCAATCTTTTCCCTCCCTGTGGCTTTTCCTCCTGGCCACAGCGCCCTGAGGAGCCTGGGCTGTGCTTGGGGTGAGCCAGGGGTGCTGTGCACACTCCGTGCCTGCACAAAAACCTGCCTCGTTCTCCCCAAAAGCACCACTCCCGTTATCCCCGGAGTGCTGGGCTCACCAGTGGGACCCGCCTGCCCTGGGGTGTGCCAGGCTGAGCTCTGGGGGGTGAATCCCACCCTGCCCTGAGGGATGGCTGTCCCCGAGGCCTGGCTGCCCTCCGGTGCCTGGTTGCTCCCTGCCCGTGGGGTTGGAGAGCACCGAGGCCGTGCCAGCTAAAGGACAGGCTGGCACAGCCCTGCCTTGGCACACCCAGCCCTGGGGCTGAGCTTTGCCCCTCCTGCAGCTGCCAGCTGTGTCCTGCCTGCCCGTGTCACCTCCCCGTGGTGTCCCCGGAGCTGGAGCTGGGCTTGGAGAGGAGGAAAGGCTTTGCCTTCCTCGCCAGGGCTGCTCCTCATCCTCCTGGGACAGAGGAGGCAGCAGCAGGGCCTGGGGATGTGCAGCACCCTCAGCCCCTGGGGCATCTCCCTCCTAAAGCCACTCTGAAAAGCAAAAAAACTTCCACGGCGTCTCCCACCTGCTTTTGGCAAGGATCTGCTTTTTCTGAGCTGGTTTTCCGTGCTGTTTTTGGCTGGTTTGAGAGTTTTCCTCTGCTTCTTCCTCCGGTTTTTCTGGTCCTGGCCACAGCTCGTGTCAGCTCCTGGAGTGGCTCTCATTTCACGGAGTGAGAGGGCCTGGGGGGTGCTCTGGAGTGCCTGAGCAGTGCCAGGGCTGGCTGGTGGCTTGGCTGAGTGTCCCCTGTGCCCCAGGCTGGCTTGGTGGCAGGGTCACCCCCCTGCTCTGCCCCTGTGCCTGCAGAGATGCTCTCACAGGCTGCCCGTGGCACTCCCATGGCACCACCGGCTCCTTTCCTGGGAACTGCACACAAAAAACCTCCCAAACTTCCCAGAAGGGAGATGGGGGGAGGCAAAAAGCAAAGCTGATGCCCTGCCCCAGCTCTGTGGGAGCTGGCAGCAGTGGCTCCAGCCCAGGAGCCTGCTGTGAGCCGCTCCTCCCTGAGCAGCTCCCCTGGGCTGTGCCACCTTTGCCCTGCCCTGCTGCCCTCCTGGCAGCGTTTGGAGCCCTCTGGCTCCCAGGCTGGCAGTGCCCTGTCCCCCCTGGGGGCTGCCCAGGAGCCCTGAGCTCAGCCCTGGGCCGGGAGCAGCTCCCCCAGGCCGGGCTCAGTGGAGAAGTTTGAATTTGAATTTGCCAAAAAACCAGAGGGGATCCTCGGAGGAGGAGGGAGCTGCAGGGGATGGGGAAAAAATCAGGAAATGTTGCAGAAATGGAAGGGAAGGAGGGACTGGGGTGGATGGAGATGGGTGTGCAGGGGGCTGAGCTGCAATTAATGATCTCCCTGCTGCCCTGGCCTGGCCCACGGGGTCAGGCAGGCCAATAATTCAGTCAGAAGTGTTTGCTCTCCTCTCCTGGCTGTCTCCTTCCCCAGTCTGGGTGGAATTGTCCAGCTGGATGTGGGTGCCTGGCCCTGGAAGTGCTCTCCAGGAGCTGGAATTTGGGTCTGGGGGGCTGGGGCTGTCCCAAGGGTGCTGCTGTGGGCAGGGAGGGCTGGCTCCGTGTGCCAGCTGTGCCAGGGGACTGGGAGAGCATCCCCAGCTGGGAAAACTCTGCTGCCTCTGCTTGGCAAGGGGAGCTGAGCCCTGCCAGGCTGCCCTGGGTGCATCCCCAGCCTGATCCCATCCCTGGCACTGGGATCAGCCCTGCCAGGCTGTCCTGGGCACATCCTCATCCTGGATCCCACTGCCAGGCACTGGGATCAGCCCTGCCAGGCTGCCCTGGGTAATTCCTCAGCCTGATCCCATCCCTGGCACTGGGAAGGGGAGCTGAGCCCTGCCAGGCTGTCCTGGGCACATCCTCATCCTGGATCCCACTGCCAGGCACTGGGATCAGCCCTGCCAGGCTGTCCTGGATGTCCTGGGTAATTCCCCAGCCTGATCCCATTCCCAGGCATTGGGATCAGCCCTGCCAGGCTGTCCTGGGCACATCCCCAGCCTGATTCCACTCCCTGGCACTGGGATGGGCCCTGCCAGGATACCCTGGGTACATCCTTAACCTGATCCCACTCCCTGGCTTTGGGATCAGCCCTGCCAGGCTGTCCTGGGCACATCCTCATCCTGGATCCACTCCCTGGCACTGCGATCAGCCCTGCCAGGCTGTCCTGGGCACATCCTCATCCTGGATCCACTCCCTGGCACTGGGATCAGCCCTGCCAGGCTGTCCTGGCTGATTCCTCACCTGGATCCACTCCCTGGCACTGGGATCAGCCCTGCCAGGCTGTCCTGGGCACATCCCCAGCCTGATCCCACTCCCTGGCACTGGGAAGGGGAGCTGAGCCCTGCCAGGCTGCCCTGGGCACATCCCCAGCCTGATTCCACTGCCAGGCACTGGGATCAGCCCTGCCAGGCCGCCCTGGGCACATCCCCAGCCTGGCTCCTCACTCCCTGGCACGGGAAGGGCCCTGCCTGGTCCCAGCCCCCCTTTGGGGCTCCCCTGTCCCCGTCCCCTCCCCCAGCTCTGCCTGGAGCCTCTCTTGGTCCCTGGGGTGCTGGCAGGCAGCAGCGCCAGCTGTGCCAGATGTGCCCCCCGGGGGGCTCTGGGGTGACCCCGGGGCTCGGCCAGCAGGGCTGGCAGCTCCTCACGGGGCTCCTGGGGCTCTGTCCTGCGGGGCACGGCTGGCCCCGTGTGCCCTGGAGGGAGCCTGGCCCAGCAGGGCGGGCACAGGGACTGCTGCACGTGGCTTGGCAGTGGTTTGGGCACTCTGAACGTTGGTTTTCAGTGGTTTGGGCACTCTGAACGTTGGTTTTCAGTGGTTTGGGCACTCTGTGCCTGGGTTTTCAGTGGTTTTGGGCACTCTGTACATTGGTTTGCAGTGGTTTGGGCACTCTGTACGTTGGTTTTCAGTGGTTTGGGCACTCTGTACGTTGGTTTTTGCAGTGGTTTTAAGCATTCGTACATTTGCAGTGATTTTTAGCATTCTGTACATTATTTTTGCAGTGATTTTTAGCATTCTGTACATTATTTTTGCAGTGTTTTAACCATTCTGTACATGGGTTTGTAGTGATTTTTGGCATTCTGTACATCGTTTTTCAGTGTTTTTAACCATTCTGTACATTGTTTTTTGAAGTGGTTTTAACCACTCTGTACACCGTTTTTCAGTGTTTTAACCATTCTGTAAATTATTTTTGCAGTGTTGTTAAGCATTCTGCACACTGTTTTTACAGTGGTTTTAACCATTTTGTACATTGTTTTTTGCAGTGTTTTTAAGCATTCTCTACATTGGTTTTTGGAGTGTTTTTAACCATTCTGTACATTATTTTTCAGTGTTTTTAAGCATTCTGTACATAATTTTTGCTGCCCCAGGGATGTTCCTGTTTTAACCATTCTGCACATTATTTTTTGCAGTGTTTTTAACCATCCTGTACATGGTTTTTGCAGTGTTTAACCATTCTGTACACTGCTTTTGCAGTGTTTAACCATTCTGTACACTATTTTTGCAGTTTTTAACCATCCTGTACACTGGTTTTGCAGTGTTTAACCATCCTGTACACTGGTTTTGCAGTGTTTAACCATTTTGTACATGTTTTTTGCAGTGTTTAACCATCCTGTACACTGTTTTTGCAGTGTTTTTGCCCCCTCTGTGTGCTGGCAGTGCCTGGCAGGCCCAGGGCAGGGGGAAGGGAAGCAGCCCCAGGTCCAGGCTGATCCCCCTCTCCCTTCCCTGGGCTTGGGGCACTGGGGCTCTTTGCTGCCTTTTCAGGAGGATTTGCTGGGTGAGAGGGGCTGGGAGCTGTTTTGGGGTCTGTGCTGTCAGCTGGGAGCTGTGAAAGTTTGTGTTCGAGGGTCCCAGGACGAGGGAAGAATGAGAACCTTGATCCATGTTCCAAAAGGCTGATTTATTCTATTATTATATGATATTCTATTAAAATGATTTACCAAAACTATACTAAAAAGAACAGAGTGGAAAGGATCCGTCAGGAGGCTGGAAAGGACAGGAATGGGATGATAACAAAATCCTGTGGCTGCTCACAGGTGGCTGGGGTTGGTCACCAAGTGAAAACAATCCTCATGGGCTGATTGGAGATTAAACAGCCTCCAGACCACATCCACAGCCCTCAAACAGTTAATTGTTTACGTTTCTTTTCTGGGGTTTCTCGGCTACAACAGGAGAAAAATCCTGGCAGAGGATTTCCACAGAAATACCGTGGTGGCACCTGGGCTCTGCCAGGGGTGTTTGGTGAGGAGGTTCACTCCCTGCAGCGTTCTCCAATCCCAAATTAGCAACATAAATGATAGCCCCAAACTTATTCCAACTCATATCAGCAGAACTGTGGCATTCCCATGCCCTCTGAACAGAGAGAAGCTGTGAGAAAAGACATAAAAATTGTTTTTCCTTCTTCTCTGCTTGTCTCACAGCTTCTGTCCGTACAGAGGGCAGGAGAAAACCACACAAAACCACAATGGGGTGACAGAAATTATTACAAAAATCAATCTGCAGTTGGTGGCCACCCAAAGATGACATCCCAGCGGTGATGATCTGCATTTTGCTTCATTCTTTGCAGAGTTTGGGTTATTCCTTTTGCACCCAGCTGGGGTGGCTGCCCTGGGCCTGGGGCTGTGCAGCACCCTCAGCTCCTGGGCTCTCCCTCCCAAAGCCACTTGGAAAGGGAAAAAAACTTCCAGAGCGTCTCCCACCTGATTTGGCAAGGATCTGCCTTTCCTGAGCTGGTTTTCCTCTGTGTTTTTGGCTGGTTTGGGGGCCGGGACAGCCCTGGTGCCCACGTTTGCAGCTTTTGGGTGGCCCCGAGGCTCTGCTGGCACTCGGTGACCTGGGCTGGGCAGGGTCCCTGCTCTGCTGGCCCAGCTCTGAGGGGTGACAGGCGTGTCACCCGTGCAGGTGAGGTGTCACCACCGCGGGGCAGAGCTGCCAGCACCCCCGGGGCGTGGGAGAGCAGCCGGAGCTGGGAAAACTGGGCTGGGCTGGGCTGGGATGGGATGAACTGGGCTGGGATGAACTGGGATGGGCTGGGCTGGGCTGGAGAAGCAGCTCAGAGCCAGGGCTGGCATGGGATGGGATGGGATGGGATGGGATGGGATGGGATGGGATGGGATGGGATGGGATGGGATGGGATGGGCTGGGATGAACTGGGCTGGGCTGGAGAAGCAGCTCAGAGCCAGGGCTGGCACCTGAGAGAGCTGCTGCCTGTGACAGGGACAGTTCCTGTGGCACATCAGCCTCGGGAAGGGGTGACAGCCTGGGTGACAGCCTGGGGTGACAGCCTGGGTGACAGCCTGGGTGACAGCCTGGGGTGACAGCCAGGGGTGACAGCCTGGGTGACAGAGTGGGTGAAAGCCACAGGTGACAGCCAGGGGTGACAGCCATGGGTTACAGGCAGAGGTGACAGCCAGGGGTGGCAGACAGGGGTGACAGATAGGGGTGAAAGCCACGGGTGATAGCCACAGGTGACAGCCAGGGGTGACAGCCACGCTCCCTGCAGGGATGTGGCTGCTGGAGCTGATCCCTGGGCGAGCTTGGCACTCTCCATGCCAGCCTGTGGAGGCTCCAGGCTCTCCAAAGCCCTGTGCCAGGCTCTCCAAAGCCCTGTGCCAGGCTGTCCCAGCCCATTGTCCCTCCCTGCCCGGGCAGGGCTGTCCCCAGGGCGGGCAGGGCTGCTCCATCCCGGGCAGCACAGGGTCCCTGTGCGAGGAGCTGGCTGCTGGGCACAGCAAAAACACCAAAAGGAGTCACTGGAGGGAGCAGGTGACACCTGAAGAGATCAAGGAGCCACCAAAAGAGCCCCGTGGGCTCCCAGGTGGCTGCCCTGGAGGGAGCAGGGCCCTGCCGAGCTCTGGTGGGTGTGCTTCTTGTCTGTGCCCTTCTGGGTGACCTTGGCCGTCTGTCCCTCCCCGGAGCAGTGGCACAGTGTCACCCGGGTGCCAGCAGCCTGCAGCAGGGCCCTGCCAGCCCCGGGCCAGCCCTGCTGCCCCGGGGGTGCTCCTGCTGAGCCCCAAATCCCCAAACGCTGCCCCGGGGCAGGGCTGGGTCCGGCCGGGATGTGGCGGCTGCAGCGGGAGCCCGGCAGATGCGACGTGGCTGTCACTGTCACCTGCCCGGAGGGAGCCGGGCTCGGCCGGAGCTGCTGCGCTCCCTGTCCCCGTCCCTGTCCCTCCACATCCCTGTCCCCAACCCTCTCGCTGTCCCCATCCCCATTCACACCCTGTCCCCATCCCTGTCCCCATCCCTGTCCCTGTCGCTGTCTCCATATCTGTCCCTGTCCCCGTCCCCATCCCTCTCCCCTCCTCCCTGTCCCCATCCCTGTCCCTGTCGCTGTCTCCATATCTGTCCCTGTCTCCATCCCCATCCCTCTCCCCCCTTCCCTGTGCCCATCCCTGTCGCTGTCCCCATCCTCCCCCCCATCCCTGTCCCATCCCTGTCCCTGTCCCTGTCCCATCCCTGTCCCCGTCGCTGTCCCCGTCGCTGTCGCTGTCGCCGTGTCCAGCCCCCGGTGCCTTTCCCAGCCGCGCTGTGGCTGCAGCAGCGCCGCTCACCCAAGGTCACCGCAGGGGACAATAGCGCTGGGGACAGCCCGGCAGCGACAGAGCCCGGAGCCTCCCCCGAGCCACAGCCCGGGCACGGGGACAGCGGGCAGGCACACGGACATGTCTGGCTGTCTGTCTGTCTGTCACCCGAGCCGGTGGCAGCGGAGCCACCGGGAGCTGCTGGGCTGGGATGTCTGTCCCTGCCGCTTCTGTCTGTCCCTGCCACCTCTGTCTGTCCCTGCCGCTTCTGTCTGTCCCTGCCACCTCCGTCTGTCCCCACCATTTCTGTCCCCTGTGGAAGCTCCAGCACAGCCAGGGTGGGCACAGCCCGGGGTGTCCCGGGGATCTGGGGACAGAGGGACAGTGGGAGCTGTGTGCAGGGATTTGGGAACATGGGAGATGTGTGCAGGGATTTGGGGACAGAGGGACAGTGGGAGCTGTGTGCAGGGATTTGGGAACATGGGAGCTGTGTGCAGGGATTTGGGGACAATGGGAGATGTGTGCAGGGATTTGGGGACAGAGGGACATGGGAGCTGTGTGCAGGGATTTGGGGACAGGGGGACACGGGAAGTGCTCGCCTGTGCTCATGGGACCCCTCCCCATCCTTTTGGGGCCCCCTGTCCCTCCCGCAGCCCCTCCCCGGATTTCCCAGTGCCAGGAGAGGGACAGTGCCAGCTCCCAGCCTGGGGAGCAGGGCACCCTCAGCCCTGCTGCCACCAGAGCTGCCACCTCTGTCCCTGCCTTTCCCGGGGGCTGGTGGCCGTGCCAGCCCCGTGCCAGCCCCGTGCCAGCCCGGGGGGCACAGCTGGCCCCGTCAGGGCACGGCGGGGTCGGGGCTGTCTCGGAGCTTTGTTTGTGTCACTTTTTGGGCGTTCCTCAGCAGTGATTGTGGAGCATCTGCACCTCACGGGTATTGAGGCTGTGCCAGGGGAGGGGACAGGGACACGGGGACAGCCTGAACCCGGGGGCTGGTGGCCGTGCCAGCCCCGTGCCAGCCCCGTGCCAGCCCGGGGGGCACAGCTGGCCCCGTCAGGGCACGGCGGGGTCGGGGCTGTCTCGGAGCTTTGTTTGTGTCAGTTTTGGGCGTTCCTCAGCAGTGATTGTGGAGCATCTGCACCTCACGGGTATTGAGGCTGTGCCAGGGGAGGGGACAGGGACAGGGACACGGGGACAGCCTGAATGGGGGGCACTGGGGGTGCCAGGGCTGGGCTGGTGGAGGGCAGTGGGGCTGGGCACCACCTGCATGGGGCTGTGGTCACACCAGTGCCACCTGTGCCACCGGGGCAGGGACAGTGTCACCAGGGCAGGGACAGTGCCATCTGTGCCACCACAGCAGGGACAGTGCCACCAGGACAGGGACAGTGCCACCTGTGCCACCAGGGCAGGGACAGTGCCACCAGGACAGGGACAGTGTCACCTGTGCCACCGGGGCAGGGACAGTGCCACCAGGACAGGGACAGTGTCACCTGTGCCACCAGGACAGGGACAGTGCCACCAGGACAGGGACAGTGTCACCTGTGCCACCAGGACAGGGACAGTGCCACCTGTGCCACCACAGCAGGGACAGTGCCACCAGTGCCCATGCTGGTGTCATGTCCCCACACTTTAAAGGATTCAGGCTCTGAGTTTAGGATGAAATATGGCTTCAGGTTTTCTTATTTATTTCTTGCTTGCTTTCTTGGGCTTTGGGTTGGATTTTTTGGTTTGTTTTGGGGTTTTTTTGCGGGGGTTTGTTTGGGTTTCTTTTTGCGGAGATTTTTTGGGGGCTTTTTTTTTTGTTTGTTTGTTTTTTATTTAATTCTAAATGTAGCTCACAAACTATAGCCAATAATTACATTATAGCCACTACAGCCAATAAGGATAAAAGGCCCAGGCTCAGGGATTTTTGTGCTTTCCCTCCTTTTTTCTGCTTTCCTCTCTGCCAGCAGCACAAAGAGCCAGGGCAGCCCTTCTGCTGCTGGGGATGATGGGATTAAAACCAAACTAAGAATTCTCACTGATTTTTTACCATTTTTCCCCCTTTTCTGGCCAGGCACCACGTGCACTACTTGTGCTTTCCCTCCTTTTTTATGTTTTCCTCTCTGCTGGTAGCACAGAAAGTCAGGGCAGCCCTTCTGCTGGTGTGAGGAACTGAAAGTCAGGGCAGCCCTTCTGCTGGTGTGCAGAACTGGGATAAAAACCAAAATAAGAATTTGCACTGATTTTTCCCCATTTTCCCCCCATTTCTGGCCAGGCACCACGTGCACTACACGATCCCATCCATTGTGCTTTCTCTCCTTTTTTATGTTTTCCTCTCTGCTGGTAGCACAGAAAGCCAGGGCAGCCCTTCTGCTGGGGTGCAGAACCGGGATTAAACCCAAACTAAGAATTGTCACTGATTTTCCCCGTTTTCCCCCGTTTCTGGCCAGGCACCACGTGCACTACTTGTGCTTTCCCTCCTTTTTCATACTTTCCTCTCTGTTGCCAGCAGCACAAAGAGCCAGGGCAGCTCTTCTGCTGCTGGGGATGGTGTGCGGAACTGGGATTTAAACCAAACTAAGGATTTTCACTGATTTTCCCCATTTTCCCCCCGTTTCTGGCCAGGCACCACGTGCACTACGTGATCCCCTACGACGGGGACCAGTCGGTGGTGGACTCCTCGGAGAATTACTTTGTGACCGACAATGTGACCAAGCAGGAGATCGACCTGATGCTGGGGCTGCTGCTGGGCTTCTGCATCAGCTGGTTCCTGGTGTGGATGGACGGCGTGCTGCACTACGCCGTGCGCGCCTGGCGCGCCAGCCGCCGCTACGGTACGCTGCCCTGCCTCCTCCTCCTCGTCTGCATCATCCTCGTCTTCCTCGTCTTCATCTTCATCCTCGTCCTCATCTTCATCCTCGTCTTCATGTTCAGCTTCCTCGTCTTCATCATCTTCCTCATCCTCATCTTCATCTTCCTCGTCTTCATCATCTTCGTCTTCATCATCCTCGTCTTCATCTTCGTCTTCATCTTCATCTTCATCTTCTTCATCATCCTCGTCTTCATCTTCTGCATCCTCATCTTCCTCATCCTCATCTTCATCTTCTTCATCATCCTCGTCTTCATCTTCTGCATCCTCATCTTCCTCATCCTCATCTTCATCTGCCTCGTCTTCATCATCTTCGTCTTCATCATCCTCGTCTTCATCTTCTGCATCCTCATCTTCCTCATCCTCATCTTCATCTGCCTCGTCTTCATCATCTTCGTCTTCATCATCCTCGTCTTCATCTTCTGCATCCTCATCTTCCTCATCCTCATCTTCCTCATCCTTGTCTTCATCTTCCTCATCCTCGTCTTCATTTTCTTCATTGTCCTCATCTTCATCATCCTTATCTTCATCATCCTCATCTTCATCTTCTTCATTGTCCTTGTCTTCATCTTCATCTTCATCTTCATCTTCATCTTCATCTTCATCGTCTTCTCATCTTCATCATCTTTGTCATCTTTGTCATCTTCATAATCTTCCTGGTCTTCATCATCCTCATCATCTTCATCTTCATCTTCCTCATCTTCATTGTCTTCTCATCTTCATCATCCTCCTCTTCTCATCTTCATCTTCTCATCTTCATCATCTTTATCTTTATCATCTTCTCATCTTCGTCTTCCTCTTCATCTTCCTCATCTCCTCGTCTTCCTTGTCTTCATCTTCTTCTCATCTTCCTCATATTATTCTCTTCCTCCTCCACATCATCTTCTCATCTTCTTCCTCATCTCCTCTTCCTCCTCATCCTCCTCCTGGGGATGGACACAGAGCCCTGGGGACACAAAAACAGAGCCATGGGGACACCGAGCCCTGGTGGGGACACCGAGCCCTGGTGGCACAGCCTGACCCCATGTCCCCAAGCCCTGGTGACACCAAGCCCTGGTGGCCCGTCCTGACCCCGTGTCCCCATTCCCTGGTGTCCCCGAGCCCCGGTGTCCCCATTCCCTGGTGGTCCATCCTGACCCTATGTCCCTGACCCCATGTCCCCAAGCCCTGGTGGCCTGTCGTGACCCTGTGTCCCCATTCCCTGGTGTCCCCATTCCCTGGTGTGTCCCCATTCCCTGGTGTCCCCAAGCCCCGGTGGCCCATCGTGACCCTGTGTCCCCATTCCCTGGTGTCCCCATTCCCTGGTGGCCCATCGTGACCCTGTCTCCCCATTCCCCGGTGTCCCCAAGCCCTGGTGGCCCATCGTGACCCGTGTCCCCTCCCGCAGACTCCTCGTGGTCCTGGCTCCCGCGGTTCTGTAAGCTGAAGGAGCTGCGCAAGCGCCATCCGCGGCAGTACGAGGAGCCCACGGGCAACATGGTGCACATCAAACAGAAGCTGTACCACAACGGGCACCCCAGCCCCCGGCACCTCTGAGGGACCCCGGCGCCGCGCCCGCTTTTAACCAACACCGGACTCCTCTTCCTCCCGGGGCCGCCTCCGGATTGTCCCCACGGCAGCGCAGGACGCGGAATCGTCCCCGGGACGCCCGCGGGTGGACGCGCCACCATGCACAACTGAGCCGGTCCTGGGTGCTCTGCAGCCGAGGCTTTGCACTGTGTTCCACGTTTTATTGCCAGACTCGTGTATATATGTAAAAAAAAAAAAAAAAACAGAAAAAAGGGAAAAAAGAGAGATTTGCATTGTACTTTCAGCCGCCGCCCCGTCCTCCTGGCTGTCCTGCACATCCTGCTGGGAATGCTGGCCGAGGGATGGAGGTGGGACGGCACCAAGAAGATGCAGAGTGTCTCCTCCAGGAGCTCCAGCCCCCACAAAAAAACAATTTCTTTGCCCCTCCCGTGGCTGAAGGGCCTGGCTGGTCACAGGTTTGGAAGGGGGGAAGGCGCAGTGTCCCATTTTTGGGGTTTTTTTTTTGGTTTGGTTCACGTTCCGGGGGGGAAGGAAGGGCTGGGGATGGGTCAGGGGTTTGCTGTTTGTGTTGCTGCCACTGAAACCTGCCTTAAGCAGCCCCACCTGGGAGCCAGGGCACAGGGGCTGCTGCTGCTGCTGTGACCCCGTGTCCTCGGGTGGTGGCACCTCGGGTGGTGGCACCTTTGGAGGTGGCAGGGCTGCTGTCTGTCCCTAGAGGAGGGTGGGATGTGTCGGGTCTGATTCACCAACACCCCCCAGCCCTGGCCTGGGAGGAAAGGAGCTGCTCTGGCCCTCCTGCTGCAGGGTGAGCCTGGTTAAACACCCCAAAATCCTGGTGAAAACACCCCAAAAGTCTGGTTAAAATACTCCAAAAACCTGGTGAAAACGCCCCAAAAGTCTGGTTAAAATACTCCAAAAACCTGGTGAAAACACCCCAAAAGTCTGGTTAAAACACCCCAAAACCCCAAGAAGCAGCAAGAGGGGGCCCTGAGCAGCCTCTTCTTCTAGGGTGAGCCTGGTGAAAATGCCCCAAAAATCTGGTTAAGACACCCCAAAACCACAAAACCCAGCACAGAGGGAGCCCTGAGCAGGGTGAGCCTGGATAAAACACCCCAAAACCCCAAAGAGCAGCAAGAGGGGGCCCTGAGCAGGGTGAGCCTTGATAAAACACCCCAAAATCCTGGTGAAAACACCCCAAAATCCCAAAACCCAGCACAGAGGGAGCCCTGAGCAGGGTGAGCCTGGTTAAACACCCCAAAATCCTGGTTAAACACCCCAAAATCCCAAAGTGCAGCACAAAGTGCGTCCTGAGCAGCTTCTTGCATGGTGAGCCTGGTTAAACACCCCAAAATCCTGGTGAAAACACCCCAAAATCCCAAAAACCCAGCACAGAGGGAGCCCTGAGCAGGGTGAGCCTGGTTAAACACCCCAAAATCCTGGTTAAACATCCCAAAATCCTGGTTAAACACCCCAAAACCCAGCAGAGAGGGGTCCTGAGCAGGGTGAGCCTGGTTAAACACCCCAAAATCCTGGTTAAACACCCCAAAACCCAGCACAGAGGGGCCCTGAGCAGCCCCACTCCTGCTGCACCCCCTTCTTGTGGGGCAGAGCCCAAGCCCAAACCCTCCCCAAACATCCCAAACGTCCCCAAAGCTGAGTTAAACCGTGAGGAAGCTCCAGATGTGCTGCTGCTGGGCTGGGTTTTGGGGTGTGGATGGGATCAAGGCTCTCAGGGCACTGTCCAAAAAATTTAAAAAAAAAAGAAAACCAAACAAAAAACCCCAAAATCTCCTTTTAGGGCCGGCAGGAGCTGTGGGGTGGCTGCAGAGAGGATTTGTGAGCAGGGATAAAAAGGGAAATTCCATCCCCAGGAATCTGAACCCTCATCACTTCCCCTCCTTTCATCTTTCTGTATCCAGAAATGGGGAAAACACCTAAAGAATTGCCAGAAAAATCTCATTTTTTCCCACAGATTCCTTGAAATTCTCAGTGGCCTCCTGCAGTTTGGTGGCAGGGAAAGGACTCCACAACTCCTGCTCTCCCCTCCCTGCTCCATTTTCTGTGTTTTGGGGTCATTTTTAAAATTCCTTATACCCAGTTCAGTTAATTACAAGCCCCAAAACTGCCCAAATATTCCCATTTTTCTGCCATTCCCACTTTTGCTATTCCCTAGTGCCTCTTGCCTTGGAGCCCCAGGTTTTTTTTCTGGACCTGAATAATTTCCTGGTCCATATTTCTGTCTGTCTGTCTGTCATTCCTGGCTGTGATGTCCAAAATTCCTTAGGATCTAAGGAATGACTTTTCCTTGGGCAGTCATCAACAAGTGGGATTTTGTAGGGGAGAAAATTCCATTGGGATAAGGACAAAATATTGAGTCCCTGGAATGGGTTATGTAAAAAAAGGGGGGAAAAAAGCACTTTAAAATCAAATTTTCCACTGACTAAACTCAGCCTGAATGTAAAGCCTGGCTCTGCCCTGCTCTGGCAGCTGAGCTTGGTGGGAATATTAAAAATTAAGCAGTGGGAAAGGGTGAAGTGATGGCTCACACCTGTTGAGTTTGATCTGGTTGATCCATGGCAAAAATCCATCAAAATTTGAGGTCTAGAAGAGGGGGAATTTTTTTTAATATATAATAAAAATGTTCCTGTTGTAGAAAAAGAGATTTTAAAAAATCTGCTGGGTCTGGAGCTCTCAACTTTTGAACTTTTGTCTTGCTCAAACTTAGGCAAAAAAAACCAAAAAACAAAACAAAACAAAACAAAAAAACCCAAAATAAGAAATATTCTCAGTGCAATAAAATTTACTGGGAATAATTCCCTTTAATCCAGGGCAACCAGACAGGTTTTGTGGAGCACACACAAAACCAGTGGGATTAATCCTGGAGAATGATCATTTTTTATTAATGAGGGCCAAAATTCCTTCCTGTGCAGGGAGGCAATCCTGACCCAGCAGGTCTGCACACCAAAAATAACCCAAAAACCCCAAAATAGGAGAGTTTTCCCCAAAAGCCACAGCTCTGCCCTGCCTCCTCTTTGGGGAACGAGGAGCCAAGGCCCCAGAGAAGAAGGTGAAGGAGGCAGCTGGGTTTGGGGTGTTAGAGCTGGGTTTGGGGTGTTAGAGCTGGGTTTTGGGGTGTTAGAGCTGCGTTTTGGGGTGTTAGAGCTGAGTTTGGGGTGTTAGAGATGGTTTTGAAATGTTGTAGCTGGTTTTTGGGGTGTTACAGCTGGTTTTACATCTGGAATTTAGGGTTTCAAATCTGGGTTTCAGCTCTGGCATTTAGGGTTTCAGATCTGGGGTTCAGATTTGGGTTTTAGGGTTTCAAATCTGGGGTTTAGGGTTTCAGGTCTGGGTTTTAGGGTTTCAGGTCTGGGGTTTAGGGTTTCAAATCTGGGTTTAGGGTTTCAGATGTGGGTTTCAGGTCTGGGTTCCAAACCTGGGTTTCAGATCTGGGGTTCAGATCTGGATTTCAAGGTTTCAGCGGGATGGAAAGCAGGAATTGTCTGTGGGGCAGGGACACAAATCCCCTCAGCCCAGCTCCCGGGGAGCCCAGGAGGACGAGAGGAGGAAAGGGAAGGAGAGGAAGGAGAGGAAGAAGAGGAAAAGGGAGCAGAGGAGAGGAAGGAGACGAGAGCAAGAAGAGAGCGAAGCAGAGATGGAAGCAGAGAGGAAGAAGAGGAAAGGGAAGCAGAGGAAAATGACACAGAGGAGAGGGAGCAGAGGAGAGGAAGGAGAGGAGAGAAAGGGAGGAAGGAGAGGAAGAAGAGGAAAGGGAAGCAGAGAAGAGGAAGGAGATGGAAACGGAGCAGAGGAGAAGAAGAGGAAGAGAGGGAAGCAGAGGAGAGGAAGAAGAGGAAAAGGAAGCAGAGGAGAGGGAAATGTGGCAGAGCCAGGAGCAGCTGCTCACCCTGCCGGGCCGCGGGGACCCTGCTGTGTGTCCGTGTGTCCTGAGCTCTGTCCGTGTGTCCTGAGCTCTGTCCGTGTGTCTGAGCTCTGTCCGTGTGCCCTGAGCTCTGTCCGTGTGCCCTGAGCTCTGTGTCCGTGTGTCTGAGCTTGTCCGTGTGTCCTGAGCTCTGTCCGTGTGTCAGCGTGTGCCCCACATGGAGCCTGCCCCTCCCTGGCACCCATTCCTGTCCCAGAGGGGCTCCCAGCTCCAGGCTGGCACTCCCAGCAGGGTCCCTGCACTCACTCTGGGGTTTTCTCACTCCTGAAACACCAGGACAGAGCCCGGAGTGCTCTTTGCCCTCATTGTTCATCCTTTTTTTATTTAATTTTTTTTTTTTCCCTGCACCCAAACCACTTCTGCATCAGGCAGGGAGAGGCACAGCCCAGACCCCACCAGAGAGAGAGAGATTAAACTCTGCTCTAATCACAGAACCATCTCTACTGTGGTTGAAAAGCAATAATGGCTAATTTTATTTTTTATTTATTTCTTCAATCCACTTGCACAGGCAGATTTCACCCAGGGCTTTGTGCTCTGCAGTGGCTGGAGGGGTGGCAGCCCCTGCTGAGGGGGCAGCTGAAGGTGCAGAGAGCTGGGGCTGGGGGAGGCAATAGAAAAAAGCACACTGTGATTTTATTTGGGTCAACAAGTCGAGCGGATTTCAGCCATTCCTTCCCTTTCAACGAGATGTTTGTACAATAGAGAACCAGTCCAGCTCCTGGAACTAAGCCCATCCTTTGCTGTTTGTCAGTAAAATAGTTTTTTGCATGTTTTGCATCCGAGTGGTTTTTTTTTATCCCCCATCCCTTTAAACCCAGTGAATTTTTAAAAAATTGGGGCACCCCCAGAGCAGCAGCTCCCATTTTTGGGCAGGGGGGTCAGGGGGCTGGGGAGAGCTGTCCTGAGCTCTGAGGAAGGGCTGTGGGATTCCCCCAGTTCTGGGACACATTTCTGGCTCCTGCTGGCTGGGGAAACAGGGAAGCTCCGAGATCCAAGAGTGATTTAAAAGGAAAATATTTCAGTGTTCAGTTCTGGGTGCAAGCTGCCTGCAGAGAGGAGCCTGAGCCTCTGGTGCTCATTGTCTGGAAAAGCAGGGAAAGCAGGAAAAGCAGGAGAAGCAGGAGAAGCAGGAGAAGCAGGGAAAGCAGGGAAAGCAGGAGAAGCAGGAGAAGCAGGAAAAGCAGGAAAAGCAGGAGAAGCAGGAGAAGCAGGAGAAGCAGAGGAAAAGCAGAGGAATCTCAGCCCAGAGGAGGAGAATTGGGATCATTTCCCATCCAGCAGGATGAAATCTGAAAATCTGCACCAGAACTCCAACATCTGCTCCTTGCTGGCCCCACGGAGCAGCTCCCAGCCTGCCTGGGGCAACAAAAAAGTTCCTGCGGGATTTGTCCCACCACTGCGGGCACAGCTGGGCACACCTGGGCACATCTGGGCACACCTGGGCACAGCTGGGCACACCTGGGCACACCTGGGCACAGCTGGGCACACCTGGGCACAGCTGGGCATGTCCCAGGCTCGGCGCAGACAAAGCAGAGCGGAAAAGGAACCCCAGAGCAGAAAAGGAACCCCAGCACCCAAGAGAAGATTGTGAGTGGTTTGCCCAGGAATCCATCTGGGAATTTTGGGGATTTTTTGGGGAATAAAATTGGGGATTTTTTTGGAATGGATTTGGGGACTTTTGGGGAATGGATTTGGGGATGGAATCACCTCCAGGGGATGGAATCACCTCCAGGGATGGAATCACCTCCAGGGATGGAATCACCTCCAGGGATGGAATCACCTCCAGGATAAGGAATCACCTCCAGGATAAGGAATAACCTCCAGGAGATGGAATCACCTCCAGGATAAGGAATCACCTCCAGGATAAGGAATCACCTCCAGGATAAGGAATCACCTCCAGGGGATGGAATCACCTCCAGGACAAGGAATCACCTCCAGGGGATGGAATCCCCTCCAGGGAGAGGGGCAAGGACTGGACTGGCAAGGCAGGATTAGGGGAATTAGGGCTGAGGATGAAATAACAGCACAGTGTGACAGGTGACAGCCTTCTTATTATTAAAAAATATTCTAAAATTTTTATTATAATTCTTATTACTCTTCTTTTAATTATTATCAACAAATTTCATCTTATACCCTTTTAAGATTTTAAACTTTTACTTTTGCCTGGGGAGGGATTTGCAGGTTTAGGGCACAGTCAGGGATTGGAATCCCTGAAATCATTCCTTGGCAGGGGGTTCAGCAGTGGCTCTGCTCAGCTCCCATCTCCTGGGGTTTGACAGAAATAATTTTAGTAAAATCATAACTGGAATTATTTCTGTCCAGCCCCAGGAGATGGGAGCTGAGCAGGAAAGGGAAAGCCTGGAATAACTAATCCTGAGCCAGGATTAACCAGTCCTGACTGAAGGACAACTACACCTGAAAGGGAAGGGGAAAAAGTGGGGTTTGAGCAATTTCAATAATTCTGAACATCAAACGTGTGGTTTGGTTTGGAGATCCCCCCCAGCCCACAGCAATGCACCTGGCACCAGGTGAGTGGCACAGGGTTACAAAAATCAGGAGCAGCTTCTGAAAATCCTCTCCACGTTCTGCCAGGGGAAGATGGCAGGAGTTGTGTGGGGGATGCTGGCAGCCCAGGCAGGGAGGGTTTGCAGCCTCAGGAATTGCTCCTGGTGTCCCACAAGGAAGAACAGGAAATAATTCTCTCACCAGCTCCTGCCAGGGAACAGCTCGGGGTGGGCCAAGCAGGGCTGGTGGCAGCTCCTGGGTGAGAAAAGAGCTCACGAGTGACTCAAGGGCACAGATTTGGGTCAGGCCAACGTGCCTGAGCTGTGCAGCTACAGAAGAGGCCTCAGAGCAGAGCACAGAGTTCAAATCCAGTTCAAACACAGAGAAAAAAAAAATCAGATTTTCTAACGTGTCTCTCATACGCTCAGAAGAACAAATGTCATCTCATCAAGGCTCGTGCTCAGGGCTTGACAATGGCACATTTTCCCAGCTGTTCCAGAAATGCAGCAGAAATTTGTGTGGCAGGAGGAGCCTGATGGCAGCAGTGGGAGCAAACCAACCCCACTCATCTCTCTCTTCAGACCATGCTACCTCTGTGTGCCCCAAACTCATCTCTCCATGGAAAAAAGGGATTTACTTGGGGGAAAAATATGTGGGGCTGCTCTCAGACCACGTGTGTTGACTCCAGCTCAACCAGAGAATCCCCCCAAATCCACATTTCTAAGCAAAATTTACTCTGAAGGGTGACTCAAGTGAGCAAGGAGCTGTCATGGGCAGGACCTGGGGGTAAAAGGGTGAGAAATGGAGCACAAACCCTACAAATTTCACTGTGTGGGAGTGTCAGGCTGGACAATCCCAGGTTCCCACAGGCACTGGGACACTGCAGAAACTGGAGCACAAACCCTACAAATTTCACTGTGGGAGTGTCAGGCTGGACAATCCAGGCTCCCACAGGTGCTGGGACACTGCAGAAACAGCTCAGGAGGACTTGGGGTCAGGCCACAGAGACCAGCACAGCCAGTGGTGTTTCACCAAGGGGTCCTTTAATAAATCCAGCTATTTGTGCCTTATTGAACCCTTTTTTTTATTTTCTGGTGCACTTCAAACCACGACACCCCGCAGGCCGAGGCAGCAGCACCCAGGGCTGCTCCCCACGGGTCACTCCACCAAACCTTTCCCTTTCCCTCTGCTCAGGTGACTCTCTCACACTGGTGTCCCCTCGGGGGAAGGCAGCAGGGGGCTCCTGGCAGTCTCTCTGCTGCCTTCAGCACCTTCTGTTTTGAGCCACTCCATCTTCTGGCGGTGCTGGCGCACGGCGTCGGCCACGCGCGCGTCCATCATGGCCTCGGTCAGCACGCCGTCCTCCGAGGCGTAGGCTGCTGCCTGTGGGGACAAGGACACCTCGGGCAGCTCGGGGCTGGCGTGTCCCACCCTCAGGGGACAGCTCAGGTGCTCCCTGGCCGCTGGTCCCTTCCCCACGGGCGATTTCCCCCCACAAGGTTCTCGTTCCTCGTGGTGCGCGGGGATCACCAACGAGCTCTGCCCGCCTCTGGATTTCCTGGGCACCAAATCCCGTTTCCAGAAGAAAAGATCCCACATTTGCCTTCCTTAAATTTCCTCTCCTGCTGTAAAACAGCTGCACATGTGAAGCCTTGTTTCCAGAAGAAAAGACCTCACTTGTCTCCTTTAAATTTCCTCTCCTGCTCTAGAAGAGCTGCATGGGTAAAACCTTGTTTTCAGAAGAAAAGACCCACATTTGGCTCCTTTAAATTTCCTCTCCTGCTCTGAAGCAGCTGCACATGTGAAGCCTTGTTTCCAGAAGAAAAGACCTCACTTGTCTCCTTTAAATTTCCTCTCCTGCTCTAGAAGAGCTGCATGGGTAAAACCTTGTTTTCAGAAGAAAAGACCCACATTTGGCTCCTTTAAATTTCCTCTCCTGCTCTGAAGCAGCTGCACATGTGAAGCCTTGTTTCCAGAAGAAAATACCCACATTTGGCTCCTTTAAATTTCCTCTCCTGCTCTAAAACAGCTGCATGTGTGAAGCCTTCTTTCTAGAAGACCACACTTGTCTTCTTCAAATTTCCTCTCCTGCTCTAGAAGAGCTGCATGTGTGAAACCTTGTTTTGAGAAAAGGCCCCACTTGTCTCCTTTAAATTTCCTCTCCTGCTCTAAAACAGCTGCATGTGTGAAACCTTGTTTTCAGAAGAAAAGATCCCACATTTTGCTCCTTTAAATTTCCCCTCCTGCTCTAAAGCAGCTGCACGTGTGAAGCCAATAAAGTGAAGAGAGATGGGTGCAGGAGGGTGATGGAACAACTCCCTCCAAAGCAACAAAGAATTGTTTGAACACTTGCACAGCAGAACAAACAGCAGTGCTGGGGGGAACACGGGCAAAGTGGTGCCTCTAAAATGATCTTTAATGTGCCTCTAAAATGATGTTTAATGTGCCTTGTCCTGCTTTCCTCGTGCACTCCCTCAGGAACAGCCCCTGCATCACTTGAGTGCTGTGGCAGCTCCCACCCTGCTCCCAAATGCCCACAGGAGCTTCCCTTTCCTCCCAGCTCCCCAGCCCAGTTCTGCTGGCACAGGCAGCACAGAGGTGAGCACAGAGGTGAGCACAGCTCCTCGTGGAAGGGCTGGCAGCTCCTGCCACCCTGTGCCACGGGGCAGCAGGCCTGTGGGGCAGCAGAGGGACTGTCCCTCGTGCAGGGGACACGCAGGACAGCTGGGCTCAGCCTGAGCTGCCAGCACAGCACACGAGGCAAGGCAAGGGAAGGGAAGGATGCTTGTGCTGGCAGCTGCACCCATCTCCAAGGTAACAGAGCAGCCCCCGAGCTGCAGATTTCTAAATCTGGGTCCTCCCTCTGCAAGTGCTCCCGTGAGCAGCTCGGGGAATGAGGGAGCTTGGCTGCACAGAGATCCCCTGGCTGCACAGAGGGTTGTACAGAGATTTCTTGGCTGCACAGAGATCCCCTGGCTGCACAGAGGGTTGTACAGAGATTTCCTGGCTGCACAGAGATCCCCTGGCTGCACAGAGGGTTGTACAGAGATCTCTTGGCTGTACAGGGATCCCATGGCTGTACAAAAGGTTGTACAGGGATCCATTGACTGCACAGGGATCCCTTGGCTGAACAGAGGGTTGTACAGGGATCCAGTAACTGTAGAGGGATCACAGAGATCTCTTGGCTGTACAGGGATCCCCTGGCTGCACAGAGGGTTGTACAGAGATCTCTTGGCTGTACAGGGATCCCCTGGCTGCACAGAGGGTTGTACAGAGATTTCTTGGCTGCACAGAGATCCCATGGCTGTACAAAAGGTTGTACAGGGATCCATTGACTGCACAGGGATCCCTTGGCTGAACAGAGGGTTGTACAGGGATCCAGTAACTGTAGAGGGATCCCTTAGTTGTACAGAGATCCCTTGGCTGAACAGATCCCCTGGCTGCACAGAGACTCCTTGGTTGTACAAAGATTCCTTGGCTGCACAGAGATCCCCTGGCTGTACAGGGATCCCGTGGCTGCTCAGGGATTGGGATGAGGGCAGGGAGCCCTGCAGCTCCCCACCCACCCCTGCCTGGCCCCAAGAGCCCCAAACCTCACCCACACCCAGGACTGTCAGGTGCCAACCCTCTGCCCCTGTCCCAGTGACTGTAACTTGGATTTCAGGGCACCCTGCAGTGATTCTGAGGCATCACACACAGGCTCCATCAATTACTGATGGTGCAAACACCAACTCCAGCCAGGCACGAGCCTGACAGCAACAGCAGCACAGGAACAAACTCAGGGGTGCCCCTTTCACACCCCCTGCCCAGGGGTGCCCATGGGGCAGAAGACAAAGCCAGGAGGAGCTGCTGCTCTGCCACCCCCAAGGGTTAGAGCTGCCTGTTACATCACTGAGGAGATGCAAGGAGAAATAATTATTTCCAGAGTAAGAAAAAGGTTCTCGTGGTTTTCAGGCTCCTCTAATCTATTTTTCAGCCTTTTTTTTGGTGGTCAGACCACCAAAGGTCTCATGCAGAGCCCAGCAGAGCTGGCAGGTGCTGGTTTTTCCTGCCAGCACCACCAAATCCTTCCCCTGTGCAAAGCCCCTGCAATCCCTCCTCCAGGCAGCACTGACAAGCCAGGCTGCTGCTCCTGCTTAAAACCAGGACTAAAGCCTGGCCTTGGGAAGGAGCAGGTCTGTAAAGAGAGAATTCTCTATTTATTATTGTTTATTCTCTATTTATTTGTTCTCAAAGGCTCTCGTGCTGCTCTCAGTGCCTGAGCAGGATCCTCAGCACTGCCAAACATTCCCACAGCACCTCTCTGCAAAAGGAGAGCACTGCAAAGGTTTTGTTCAGACCTCCCTCACCCCCTTCACGTTTTCATTTTTGCTCACAGGGCTCTCAGTGCAGCCCTGGTGGGGTGGTTAAAAATGAAAGAAGAGCTTTCCTGGGGGGGTTTTTGGGCAGGATGCTGTGCCTGCCCTCCTCCCTGGCTCTGCACAGCCCATCCAGCCCGGAGTGGAACCTCCTGCAAAGCTGTGCAGTTCATGCTCTGCTGATTTTCTCAATGACTTTCTATTTTTAGAAAGCCTTAGGCCCTTGCTGTCAAGAAAGCAAATGGGAGAAGCAGCTGCCCCTTCTGGGAGTAGCTTGCACACACATAAAAATGGTACCAAGCTTCATTTATATTCATACCTCTGCCTCCTGCATGGGCAAATTTTAACCCATTTTCTCCAGTGCAGCAATTGCTGTTTTATCCCTCAAACCTAATTATGAAATAATTGTGTTTGCTGAGGATGGAACAGATGACAAGTCCAGCCTGAATGACCTCATGTTTCATTTCAGCCAAGATTTGTGGTTTATTTGAACCTGGCCAGAGTCATCTGTATCATTTAAATCCCATTTATAATGAAAATAGCCTGATGAAAAAAAATAAAATAAACCACAAAAATACAAGAGCTATTTTTAAAGTATAAACAAGGTTCAGGGAGTTAAAAAAAAAAAAAAAGGCATTTATGTCAGTGGCATAAAAGGCAAGGAAATGACAGGAAGCTCACACTGGGACATAAAACTCCTGGGAATTCTCCTGAAATGCTGCCAAAACAGTTTTCCAAGATTACAGCTTGGAATAGTGAAAGGTTGCTTTTAGGTTTTGACATTTTATCTAAAGCACATCAGCAGCTTGGAGTACAGGGCTGGGAAGTCTGCACACGACTGGAGACAGAGCTGAGGGGAATTTTTAAGGTGAAAATGCCTGAGTCCATCCATGCTGGAGCCATAAAGGGCAATGGAAAAGCACAAGGACAAAAGGGAGTGCTCAGACTTCTGCAGGAGAGATTAAAATGGATTTTTAGCACGCACACTCCTGCCTGTGCCAGACAGCAATATTTCTCCCAGTGCTAGAGGTTACACTCTTGGCTTTTCTGCTTCTTGGTTTTTTCTGCTGTTGGTAAATTCAGGACAGAGTGGAAGAGCAGTGGGGTAGAGCTTCGTGTGAGTGACAGCAAATCCACCTCCAACCCAGCTCGTGGTGGAGTGAAGCCTCTGAGAGCTGCAGCTGCTGCTCAATTTACCTGAGATGGTTTTTAAATTCAACACTGGCAGGAGAATCCTCGTGGGAGCTCACTCACAGGACAGAGGGGCCACTGCTGCTGGCCCAGGGAAGATGCTTGGCATGCTTTCACCCCCTAAAGCTCCAGAATTTCTCCCAAAACCATCTCTGGGATCCAGTTCATGATCCCAGAGGCTGCAAACTCCAGCAGGGCCACACCAACCTTGCTGTGGCTGAGGTGTGCACTCAGGAGGGGCTCAGGGTGGGGAGATGGGCTCTGACCCCTGCAGGGATGGACCTGGATGATCCCTGTGGGCTTTTCCCAGCTCAGGAAATTCTGAAATCAGATTATTCCCCACCTTTGGCAGGCTGCACCTTGAATTAAAAGGGAATTATAAGACCAGAAATGATCTATTGGTGTGAGGTGTAAGAAATACAGAGGGTCTGTGGTCCACAAGCAGCCTGCACTGCTGCACCCAGCCTGATGAGGATTTTTGGGAGGCATTTCTGGCTCCTCCAGCCCCTACCTAGCCTGAGCACTGTAGCTATGCAGTTAACTCATCCTGCCAAGCTATTTTTATCTCTGCTCAGCTCCCTGACCCAGTTCAGAGCACAGCATCCACAGGGGTGCACCAGCACCACGGGAAGGAGAGCAGGAAGGCAGGAAAACACTGCCAGGAAGGCTGGAAAACCAAGCCTTGAACCTTCCCTGATGCTCCAAGGAGCCAGCAGGGCCAAAACAGGACCTAAAACACCAACAGCTCCCAGGAGAGCAGCTGGGGGTGAGCAAATTCACCTGCCTGGAGAGGGGCTTTTCCCCCAAAGCTGCTGAGGCAAACCCAAAGGCAGCGGGACACAGCAGCTCCAAATTCCTCGTCCAAAAAATGGACAACAAGCCACAGGGTTTCATATTTTTGTAAGTTTGGTGCATTTGCATATTGGGGTTTAATCTTCTAATTACAGCTTCAGGTAATGAAGGAATTTATTCTCAGTTTGCTCCCCCCAAACTAATTTTTATTTAATTTTTTTGGGGCCTGGGGCAGTGAGGTGTCCTTGACTGCCAGGCCTGGAGAGGAATTGTTGTGTCTGCCCAAAATGTGAAGACAGCAGCTCACACTGGACATGAAATTTAGAGTTCTACACTAAAGAACTGCAGGATTATAAATAGATGAAAACCAGAAAAGCTCAAATCACAATCAGACACCACAAGTGAGTGAAAAAGAACCCCCAGAGCACCAACAGCTCCCAGAGAATTCCCATCCCAGCCTGGATGCCCTCATGGCCAGTGACCTTGGCACATCCCCCTGCCCTTCCTGACCCACAAGAAATGAGCTCCCTTTGATTTTCACTCTGATTTTCACTCTGATTTTCACACAAATGAAGTTTCTTTCTACATCAACCAACTCAGATATTTCTCCCCATTCCCCTCTCCTGAGTGGTTTTTATTTAAAGCCTTTGAGTGCTCCATGAGAGCAGAGAGGAGCACAACAACTTCCTGCAGCAATTTTACACCAAACCTTGTTAACAGTGCTGGCAGCACGAGGCACATTTTTAAAAGCTGTCAGGGAAAATTAGCCACCCCCACCTTTTTCCTTCCTTCAGCAGCACTTAAAGGATAAATGATAAAAGCTGAGGTCATTCCTGGGGAGAAATGACAAACTTGCTGATAAGGGGTGATAAAAAGCTAAGGATCATTTATCACAACTTCTTATTACAGGAAATAGTTGGCAGCAAAGCCTTTCACATACGTGGGGCAGATGACAGCACACATTTTGAAATATGATTCAATATCACAAAAATGATACAGGAAAATTAACCAGCTGTGTGCCACCAAAGAATAAAACAAGAACTAACAGCACTCAAATTGGACCTCAGCTCATGACTGCTGCAATTAAAATTAATTTATACTAGAAAGGATAAATATTTGTGTTCCTTAAAAGGTGGAAAATCAGTGGTAGAAGGAATGAAATGCACAAACTTCGTCAGATGTTTGTGAGCTGCTAAACTAAATTAAACATTGAAGAGCTAAACAAAAAGCCACTTTGTTTTTACAAGCCCTGAAAGGAAGCTGACATGAGTAGGTTACATGACACACAAATTGGAGCACATTCCTTCAGTTGGTATTTCTGGGTTAGTTTATGGAAATGCACAATCCAGTAAGAAACTGGCAGCTGTGACAGAACAAGGTGAAAACCTGATTTAAATAAAAAAACCCAAAAAACTGACACTAAAGCTTGCTGAGAACATGAATGATTGTACTCCAAGTGAGGGCATTTCTTATTTTTATATATGGAACAAATATCTATTTTTTTTCAGCTCAAATTGAAGTTACTTTTGTTTCTTTGATAGCTCAAATTGCAATGAAAGGAGGGAAGGAGGATGGTTCAGGGCACCAACACCAGGTTTCTGTTCTGCTGAGCTTCCTGAGAGTGGCCAGCAGGGGCTGCCCAAACTGCCCCAAACTCACCTGCTTGACCCAAATTCCACAAGGGATTCCCCACCAGGATTATCAAAACTGCTCCTGTGGATGGGATGGGGAATTGTGCTGATATTGCAACACCCACCCCAGAGGCAGCTGGGATCTGGTACCACCCGATGGATCAATGAACTTCCACAGGGAGGGATGAGCTGGGAATGCAGGATCACAGCCTGAGACCTCCCGGGGGGAAAGAAGAGGGAAAGGGAGAGGGGGAAAAGGGAGAGGGGGAAAAGGGAGAGGGGGAAAAGGGAGAGGGGGAAAAGGGAGAGGGGGAAAAGGGAGAGGGGGAAAAGGGAGAGGGGGAAAAGGGAGAGGGGGAAAAGGGAGAGGGGGAAAAGGGAGAGAGGAAAAGGAAGGGGAAAAGAGAAAAGCCCCACTCACCTGCCACGCCACAGCAAGCTGGGAGATCTCCCGGCCCGACATGCCCTCGGTCAGCCTGGCAATCTCTGAGCACTTCTTGCCATAATCAAACTGGGCCAGCTTCAACCTCCTGAAAGGCAGAACAACTTTTTGGCTGTTGTGTAGCTCCCACAGATTCTTGCTTGCATTAATGCCTCCTGAATTTTAAGGGCACAACAAAAAAATCTGGCATGGCATCGCGTTGAGACAGAGAGAATCATCTCCCAAGTCTTTTGTTTGTTGAGAGTGGGTTTATAGACAGAACACACAGGAAAGGGGATGAGGAAAAACAAAGAAAGGAAGGGAATTCTCCAGGGTGGGAGAGCTGTGAGGGGCACTCACTGTTTGCCCTCTGTGGCTGGCTTCAGGACGTGCTGGTCGAAGTACATCCTGACCAGGCGCTCGCGCTCCTCCAGCTGGGGCAGCTCAAAGTTCACCATCTCATCTATCCTGTCGTTGATGGCCCAGTCAAACTGCTCAGGCTGGTTGCTTGCTAAAACAAGCATAAACCTGGAATTAGGGGAAAAAAAATATAAAGGATAGACTGACAAAGCCATCAAAATCAAAATGGATGAGGGAAGTGTGAACGTCGGGAGCTGCCGTGGTTGGGATCAAAGATGTTTCATCAGCTGGAAAAAAACCTGGATTCCTCAGAAACAGCTTTAACAGCACCTCAAGCAGCACAATAAAATGTCTTTTGGGCTGTTCTAACAGTCTGAAGTGTGCAGCCCAAGCTCTGCTCCACGGTACAGATGTGCTGCTCCAGGTCCTGCTGCATTTTGGAGTTTCCAGCTCCAAACTCCTTTTTTTTTATTGCTTTGTAATGATGCTTCTTCCCTGTGCCAATACTTTAATGCTTTAATTGATGTCACCAGTTTAACAGTGCCTAATAATTTGAAATGGGCTTTTAAGCACAGCTATTGGAATATTGATGTTCCTGCTGTCTGGCTGAATCATTGGCTACAAGGGGCCGTGTTCCCTGCTGTCACTTTTGGAGATTACTTGGCCAGGACAAGACTTTTGTGGCTTTTTTGTGGCTTTTCCACCAACAAAGACTTGCAGAAACACAAGCCTGGATTGAGGATTGCCTGATATTCAGCCAGGCAGCTGATTTTGGGAAGGTGAAAGGCAGCAATTCCCTGCTGGAGGAAGAGCTCTCCTCAGGGTGTCACCAAAGCACCCCATTTACACAGCCCATTGCACCCATTCCACTGAGCTCCCACTCACGAGGCAGGGCTGCTCCTTGCCCAGAGCAGCAATAAGGCTGCTCAGAAGTAAAAAGCAGTGCATGAATCACCAGGACATGTTCAGTGTCCTCAGATGGCTCATGGTTGAAATCAGGGCTGAATTCAATGTCAGAGCTCATTGCAAATGAGAGTTCAGCTGTTCTGAGCAGCCCCAGCTCCCCAAAAAGCACCCCCAGAGCTGCTCCAAGGCAATTTAATATCAGGGGAAAGAAAGAAACATCCCCAGAACTCTTCCATGGCAATTTAAAATCGGGGAAAGAAAGAAACACATCCCCAAAACCCAAAAAACATCCCCAGAACTCTTCTGAGGTAATTTTATATCAGGGGAAAGAAAGAAACATCCTCAGCACCCAAAAAACACCCCCAGAGTTCCTCCAAATCAATTTAAAATCAGGGAAAGAAAGAAACACATCCCCAACATCCAAAAAACACCCCCAGAACTCTCCTGAGGCAATTTAATATCAGGATAAAGAAAAAACCATCCCCAACACCCCAAAAACATCCCCAGAACTCTCCTGAGGTAATTTAATATCAGGATAAAGAAAAAACCATCCCCAACACCCCAAAAACATCCCCAGAACTCTCCTGAGGTAATTTAATATCAGGAGAAAGAAAGAAACTCATCCCCAGCACCCAAAAACATCCCCAGAACTCTTCCATGGCAATTTAAAATCAGGGGAAAGAAAAAACCATCCCCAGCACCCAAAAAACACCCCCAGAGCTGCTCCAAATCAATTTAAAATCAGGGGAAAGAAAGAAACTCATCCCCAACACCCCAAAAACATCCTCAGAACTCTTCTGAGGTAATTTTATATCAGGATAAAGAAAAAACCATCCCCAGCACCCAAAAAACACCCCCAGAGCTGCTCCAAATCAATTTAAAATCAGGGGAAAGAAAGAACCATCCTCTGCCTGTCCCTGATTTGCAGGACAAATATTTATTGTGATTATTCTTGCAAATATAATGAAATAATAATAATTATACTGAGCAATTTATAGAGCAACTCCATGGATCATTTCAGAAGGGATCTGCTCTCCTCCCAAAGGAAAAAGCAAGGTTTTTGCAGGATCAACACCTTGCTTTCTAGCAATTTATTTATTTTAGAAAATCACCTCTTCCCAGGCACCTCTGGGACAGACACACAAGCAATTATCAGTCAGAGCTGCAAGGGTTCCAACAAGTTCAAGAGGACAGAAAATGCTCTGGAACATTTTGACCTTCCAGGATATTTATTTCAATGTCATGAGGTTACTTAAAAAGTCTTTCAGGAGTTCATCATTAAAAACCTCACTTTCCCCACATAAAGCCAGAGACAACTTTTCTTGTTGGCTCAGTCGTGACAGGAGAAATTCTAACAAGTAAGTAAAGTTCACACCAAAAAAATCAACTATGATTTGAGAAAGGTGGAGGAAAGGTCACCTCTCTGTTATGAGAGGCAGGAAATTTGGCTGAACTGGGCAGGGAGCTCCCAGGGAGGTGACAAAGTGGGGACAGTGACATTGCCACCCTGCTCAGGGGAAGAAATGGAGTCAGATGGAAACTCAGAGCTCTGCCCACACAAGCACAGGATGGGAAGAGGTCACTGGAGAGGAGCAAGCAGCACTCAAGTGTTTTTCCAGGGAACATGAAGCACCCAGCCAGGATAACTCTGAATTTTTGTGGTAGTGATTTTCCTGGGCTCTTGAATAAACAGTAACTTGCCAAGGAAGAAAATATAAACATCAAGACACTCAAGATGTCCAAATATCACCAAAGTTCCAGGAAAAAATTTTCCTTCTGTTCTGGTTTCCAAGTGGCAGGAAAAGCTGAAGGAGGAACAAGCTACATTCAGCACATGAAGTAAAACAGGGATATTCTCTGCAGGGTTTGTTCAATCCCTCAGCAGCACAGAGCATTCCCAACTTCCATTTGTGCACCAGAGACCCTTTAAAGACTTTCCTCAACCCAGGGAAATATCAGCTGCTGGAACTGGATACTCACTTGTTGCTGTGCTGCCCTGTTCTGTGCAGAAATGCATTTAAAGTTGCTCTGAGATCTTCACTGATTTTCTCCTGCAAAGATGAAAGCCAAAGGAGGATCAGCACTGCAGAGAGCTCAGAGCTTTGGTCAGCATTCAGGACAAAGGGAATTCTGTTATTTGATAATTTATTTCTGTTCCTTTATTTAAGGAGGAGCAGGAGGAGAAGCAGAGCAGGAGCGAAGGAGAAGGAGAAGGAGAAGAGGAGAAGGAGGAGAAGGAGGAGAAGGAGGAGAAGGAGGAGAAGGAGGAGAAGGAGGAGAAGGAGAAGGAGAAGGAGAAGGAGAAGGAGAAGGAGAAGGAGAAGGAGAAGGAGAAGGAAAAAGGAGCAGGAGAAGGAAAAAGGAGCAGGAGAAGGAAAAAGGAGCAGGAGAAGGAAAAAGGAGCAGGAGAAGGAAAAAGGAACAGGAGCAGAGCAGGAGAAGGAAAAGGAACAGGAGAAGGAGGAGCAGAGCAGGAGAAGGAAAAGGAACAGGAGAAGGAGGAGCAGAGCAGGAGAAGGAAAAGGAACAGGAGAAGGAGGAGCAGAGCAGGAGAAGTGGCAGGAGAAGGAAAAGGAGCAGGAGAAGGAAAAGGAACAGAAGAAGGAGCAGGAGCAGGAAAGGAGTAGAGAAGGAGCAGGAGCAAAGCAGGAGCAGAGCAGACACACACCCAGCACTTACTGTGGCCCTTTTCCTCAGGAATGCATCTGCCTCGTCCACGAAGAGCAGGAGGCTGCAAAAGGAAAGCAGCCACAGTAACAGGACAGGGGAAGGCAGGCCTGGGGAGTCTTTGCTTCTTCTTTGCCAGGGTTGGGATTAAATGGACAAGATGGAATTTCTTGTTTGGACTCAGATGTTTGTTAGTTCTTATCTATGTTAGAGTCTCACAAGCCCTGAGGTCTGCAGCACTTCACTCCAACAAACCAAAAATGGAGCCCTCTCTCTCTCTATGAGACCTTTTAGGGATAAAGTGACCAATTAAGAAATGACACCTAAATTATTTTTACTTTTAACCCAACAACCAACCACCCATGGCCTGCAATGGGGGCTTTTTATTCAGTTACACAAAACCACCCAAAGCCAGGGAGGAGAAGGAGGAGTAGGAGAAGGAGGAGGAGAAGGTGCAGAAGGAGAAGGTGAAGAAGGTGGACAAGGTAAAGAAGAAGGAGAAAAAGGAGAAGAAGGTGAAGTAGAAGTACAAAAAGAAGGAGAAGAAGGAGCAGCCTCCACCCCAAAACCTCCACCTTGCTCTACATATATTACATTATTCTAAACCCCAGCCTCTCAGTTTCCCACCCTGTGACCTCCCACCCTTCTATCCCAACCCCACACCCACAATCCCAGCTCCACCATTCCATTCTGGAAGCTTCTCCACGGCCCCAGCTCAGTGCAGGGCTCTCCTGGGGGCACAGAAAGTCTGGAATTCCCAGCAGAGGCTCAGCTGGCTCCAGGGTCCTCCTGCCCCACTGCCAGGCTGCCAACACCCCAAGAATTGCACAAGCAACCTCATTTCCTCAGGCAGCATTTTGGAGCCAAGCTGCAGCAACCTGTCCATGGTGTGCACCTGGCTCAGCCCAGCAGCTGAAAAATGGATTTATTTCACACACCTCAGGCCAGAAATCTGCCCCCAGGCCTCTGGAGTTCTGCTCCTGCTGTTCAGAAGCAGATTGAAGCAAGGCTAAGGCACATGGCCTTAAACTCCCTGCATTTTGAAATGCAGGTGGGAGTTTCCACAGGCACAGTGTGCAGGTTGTGGCTGGCAGTGCTGGATGTCACTGCCATGGAAATTGGGACCTGCTGCAGTCTGAGTGGTCCTTTAGCATCCCCTCCTCTTTAGAGAGATGTGTGCAAGGGCACAATACAGAAATCTTGGTGACAGTGACACCTCCCTGCCATTTTTCCTCCTCGTGCCACTGTGAAAAGCTCAAAGCAGAGTCCTGTGCTCAGCCTGCTTTGCTGTTTTCTGAGGTTTTTCTTTCCCAAACCACAGCAGCACTAATGTAATGGTTTTACTACCTGTGGAGAAGTGAATTAATAAAGCCCATGAATTATTCACCAAAATAAATTCACTTCTAACCCAAGGGCAGTGCTCTTCCCAAGGGACTGAGCCTGTGAAGATGTTTATCAATAACAGAACCAGGCTGCTCATAAAGCTGTCACAGCTTGTATCACCTCCTTGCCTAACTTCAAACCCAGCTTTCTTCCAGGGGATTTCAGGCCTCTTAACATTTTCCACCCAGCCCCAGCTTCTCCCAAAGATTCTCTGCAGAAAAGTGTCAATTATCACAATTTCAGCTAAATAGCAAACAGCTAACACTGGTGCATATTCAGAATTAAATATGCTTAAATACTTCAGTGCTGCTGGAGGTGAGGATATTGATTTTATGGACACATGTAAGCTTTGATCAGGCAGTGTAGGAAGCTGAAGTGCACAGAAATTTTTATCAGGGCAGAGGAATTCAGAGCCAGGCAGTGCTGGAAGAGAATTCCTTGATGGAAGCATCCAGCTGAGTATCCTCACATCTCTTCCAACTTCTCACTTAAATTCTAAGCTCACTTAAATTCTAACACTTCCCCTTCTACAGCTCCTCAGGATAGAAGCTTAAAATTGAAATCCTGCTTTTAAATCCCTGCTTTTTTCTTTGTAAGGGGAAATAGAAAGATTTAGGTGATGAATGAAGCAAGGATTAAAAGAGACACTGCAAGATAATGTCCATCTCAGGCAATCAGAGAACACATAAATCACTGGGCAGCCACATTTACAGATCTGAGCTCAAAGCAGCACAAAACCCAAAGTGACACCTCCTGAAAGTTCAATATTGAATTTTAACCATCCTGGCTGGACAAGCAACCTCAAAAATCCATTTACATTGGTAGGAGCAAATGAACCACACACTCCTACAAAATCAGGGAGCCAAAATTCAGCCTCAGCCTGAGGAGCCTCTGCAGATAAAAATTTGCTTTTAAAGGTGACTGAAAAAGCAAAATTTGTTTGTGATTTTTACATCTGATTTCAATGCCTTTAGCATCTATCTCCTCCTTATCCTCTTTTATTTCTAATAATTCACTCCTCCTGCTTGAGACTCAAAAGTAAACCAGAAGCTGGATTTAAATACTATCAGTGTTTAAAATCTGAGCAGCTGCAACAGGGAACATCCAGAATGTGAACACCTGATTTGTGCTAATCTTCTAATTAATGCCAGATCATTAATCACCCTGAAGGAAATTTGTCCCAGCTTTCAAGTGGGCAGGAAGTCTCCTCCTGCTTGGGTGAGATCAGACAATCAAATTATGACTGATCTGGAAAAGCTGGTGTAAAAATGCTCTGAGAGGACAGAAAAGAAATGAGAGAACAGAAAAGCAAATGAGTTCAGCTTTTAAAATATTACTAATTAACGAGGATACACCCATTCTAGGAAAACTTCAGGAGAGTCTGTGTTACCTCACTCAATAACAGGAACTGAGGGGCTCAGCTACACTGTTGTAGTTGTGGGTGAGGGATTTTGGAGCTCACCACTGCTGTGGTGAGGATTTTTTGAGTAAAACCAAAATTGAGGATTAAAGAAAAGCTCAACTTACCCTCTTCTACTGGTGTTGGCCCAGTCAAAGAGTTTGTGCATGGCTGTGACCCCTTCCCTGCCCATGGGGGCCACGTCCCCTCCTGTCATGATGGCATAATCCATGCCTGAGTGCACAGCCAATTTCTGCAATGGAACAAAAACCAGCAAATCAAAGCTCTTCTCTCACTGCAAGGCCATGAAAATGAAGAGGGAATTAAGGCAGTTTAGTTCTGTCACTGCTGGTTTGAAGAGGGGAGGTGTTGGCTTCTTGATGTTCTTTAGCACTTAGTGGCAATTTTTTGTTTAGGGCAAAAAATAAACCACATAAACCCAATAGAGGTGGGTATGAAGGGGCTGATGCTATGATTTTGTTTATTTTTTCCATTTCTGCCCATCTCTATGGGTTTTAGAAACCCAAACTTGGTGGCTTTAGAAATCCAGTAGGCACCATACAAAGCCATAATCTCAAAAAACTATTTGGGTATGGGTTTAATGTACTGATAGAGGGAAAAAAAATCCAACTTGCATCAGTTTGGCAAATATGCCACTGTTAAAAAGGTGATGAAACTTAGGTCTTGTGGACAAGCACTGAAAAACAAGGGAAAAAATCAAATTCTGACTCCAATCCATGTAAAAATCATCCTGGCAGTGGCTCTGCACACAGAGCAGGAAGGAGCCATTTAGCCAAGGGCACAAACCCAGCAGAGGTGGCCAGGAAGTGGCTGCTGCTGCTGTGGTTCCCACAAATCCCAGCTCCAAGGGCTTTTCCCAGATGGAAAAGCTCCTGTGGCTCCTCTCAGCACCACAACCCACTGATTCAGAGCTGCCCTTGCCTCCCTCCCCAGCAGAAAACAATGTTCATGCAAAACTCCAGCCCAGGGAGGCTCCTCGGGCCCTGGGATTTTCAGAACCCTTTGCAAGGTGCAGGTTGGCAGAATCTTGGCAGGGTTTTTACCTTGGCAAAAAGAGTTTTCCCAGTGCCAGGGGGCCCGTACATCAGAATGTTCCTGTAGAGGCTTTTGTTCTTTTTTGTGTTTCTTGTTGCTATGGCAATGTCTCTCACACGTGCTTCCAGCTGGGGCTGCAAGGAAAGAGTTAAATTTAAGGATCAGAAGGTACCAAAAGAGCTGCACCTACCAGGTTCCCAAACCAGTACCTGCAGGAAGGAGGCAGCACTCCAGGCTCAAGCTTTTAAGTCTTAACTTCAGCTGCTCATGACTCCACACCAAGGTCATTTCCTGTCCTATGTGAGGATTTACTTGGTTTTCTGTCCACTTGGCTACAATTCTTTCATAAGAAAAAGCAGCAGTGCAGGAAGGAGTACAGTGACTACTCTAGGAACAGATAACACCTAAATATTCACTTCCTAATGGATGCCCTGGGAGGGATATGTCAAAACATCAGCAACTCTTTGCAGTGCTAATTCCTTCTCAAGTCATAAACTCATATTTATGTTACTACTGCATTTGGGGATACTGGGTGAGAGTTATTCCTGCAGGAGCATTTTCTCTCAGCAGCTTCAAGCAGCTCTTAAATTTGCCAGGAATCAAATTCAGAAGTAAATATAGAGAAGTAGCACTAATTAGCAAGCTAAGAACCAATCTCAGGGTGGGCAAATGCACACAATATTTAGATTTTTTTTTTTTGCCTAGAAGCTGGTTTGGGTTCAGTAATCCTTAACTTCAGATGGCACAAGTGGAATTCTGAATCTTCACATGCTGACTACAGAGAGAAACTGCAGCAGAGCAAGGACTGAACCAAGGCTTCCAACTGCTTTTCACAGAGGAAAAAAAGGTGAACAGGCTGCTTAATGCATGTCACACTGAACACAGGAGCTTATTTATGGTCTCAGTGTCCCACGGGTGCTGTGACTCCAAAACTGCTGGAATTACAGCTTTAGAAGTGAGTTTAAGGAACCAGCAGCTCTTATTTGGAAGCCAAAGTCATCCTTCACAGCCCAAGACAGGAAAACAAAGTACTCACACTGAGAACAACTCCTTCAAGGGCATCCTGAGCCTTGCTGGTGAGACGTTTACCAACCTTGAGAGGACAAATTCAGTTACTCACAGGCAGAAAAAAACCACATTTTGACAACTCACTTGGACTAAAACACCTCACAGAACACCAGTGGGCTCAGCCCACCCATTCCACCTCCAACATTGCATTTATTCAGACCCACTGACAACCCCAGCCTGAGCTTTGCTGAGTGGAGCACAGAACCAAAGGTGAATTTTACCTTGATGGGATGTTTCAGAGCCTCCAGCACCGTGATCCTGGAGGTTTCCCTCACCAGGGAGGGTTTGCCCAGCCTTGCCTCTATGTAACGCCCTGCTACAGCCGTGGCATTTTTGGCAGAATAAACCCCCACTGCCAGCAGGGTGAGACCTGCCACCTGCAAAAAAAAGGAGGAAAGATGAGCAAAAACCACTCGGCAAGGCAGTGCTGTTGTGTGCAGGCTGCCCTGTGGTGGGGAATTAAGATTCAGGACAAATGCTGAGCAGGAGGGGTTTATTTTTGGTAAGGTGTTTTATCCCTGTTCAGACAGTCAAGGTCTCACACTCCCTGTTCACTGACTGCTCTTGCACAGCAGAAAGCAGAGGAAGCACAAGTGAAGCATTTAATCCTGAATCCAAAAGTACATCCTGCCCAAAAAAAAGTGGGGATGTCCAGATTTTCAAGTAAATTTGAGTGATGAAGATAAAATGGCCACACCAGGCAAAAAGTGTGGGGCAGAATTTTCTATTAAATTGAGTGAAAATAAAACAGCCACACCAGCCAAAAAGTGTGGGGCTGAATTCTCAACTAAAATGAATGAAAATAAAACAGCCACACCAGCCAAAAAGTGTGGGGCAGAATTTTCTATTAAATTGAGTGAAAATAAAACAGCCACACCAGGCAAAAAGTGTGGGGCAGAATTTTCAACTAAATTGAGTGAAAATAAAACAGCCACACCAGCCAAAAAGTGTGGGGCTGAATTTTCAGCTAAATTGAGTGATGAAGATAAACCAGCCACACCAGCCAGGTGCTGCCTGCCAGAATGCCCCACTTCACACCAGAAAATGCCAGCTGAATTTCAGCTGCCAAGGTAAAACAGCTGAATTGTGGCTGCCACCAAGGCAGGGCACAGTGAGGAATAAAAAGGGAATATCTGCTGAAGGTGAGAGCTGTGCCAGCCCCAAAAGCAGAGGGAATTAGGGGTTCCAGAGGAAAAACAGAGCCAAAATCATCATGGGAATGGGAATTACCATCATGGGAATGGGAATTACCATCACTCACTGGGTTGCTCCTTCAGAAACCCCACAAAATGAGCCATTGCCATCGATTTGCCAGTGAAGCAGAAACACTCCAGACTCTGGAGTCAGCTTAAAGCTGATGCCAACAATTTATATCAGAGAAAAGAGCAAACTGCAGCAATTGCTTTTCAAATAAGCTGACTTCTCCTGCAAGTACAGATGAGGGTCAGAAGCCTCAAGGACAACAAGGATGGCACTGTTCAGTAAAGCATGAGGCACCATCTGGTAGCTCTCCCTCTGCTGAAATGTGTGACATCACTTCTGCTCTGGGTGGGAACACGAAGGGATCAGAACTGTGAGTTCCAGGATGCAAAGAGTGAGGGATCTCCACACCCAGCTCAGCTCAGATACAGAACACAGAACAGATTTCACCTTTTTAGCAGCCTCCCTCTAAAAACAGAGCCATGATCTCATGCTCTCTTGGACCATCCAGCACAAAGTTCCTGTGCCTGGGTGGATCTGATGTCATTTCCGCAGACTTTTGGACCTCACTGATGTTCATGGCACAAGATACAGAGAAGCAGAGCTTTAAAAATGAGTTCTGTATCAAACAAGAACCCAATTGCACACTCTAAAAATCAGTCTGATTACAGTCTACCCTTTTGTCTTAAGGTATCAAGCAAAGGAATGGGTCTGTGATCAGTAAATAAAGTGAATTACACTAAAACCAGAATGAACCAAAAAACCTGAGGTAGAACTTTTGGGGTTCTGCTTGGCTGGGAAGAGGCAGAGAAAGAGCAGCACTTAGAGCTGAAAATTCAGCCCAAAAATTTTTATTTACAAGAACCTTAAAATAACTGACTGGTTCTTGCCTTATAGTAATTTCAAACCTTTCAAAGCAACAGAAAATATGAGTTCCAGCTGTGTTATCTCCTTTCCAAAAATATACTTACCCTTTTTCTTTTTTTTTTTTTAAGCTAAATGTCCCAAATTCACAAGAGAAGAGCAAAAATGACAATTGGTATGTGGGTCAAGTGAATGCACAGCTCAAAGCACCCAGCACTGATCCACAAAAGGCTCTGAGTGCTGCAGACACCCCAGGTACAGATGACAAAAGGAGCCACTAAAAGCTTGCCTTGCTCTCCCCAGTGCTCCCAGGCAAAGGATGTTTTGTAGCAGCCTGTGTGTATAAAATCAGAGGGTGGAGCAGATGGTGGTGGCTGACTTAAAGCAGAATTTCTATTTTAACCAGCCACGCTACCAAAAATACATTTTCACTGTTGTTTTAAGGATTACACTGAGAAACAACTTGCTGTCCCCAAGACTCCATTGCCAAGCTCTTCTGTCCTGTGAAAAGATGCTGGTCTGGCCTTTAATCAATTTATTTAGCACACATAACAGCTCTCTAAGTGCTCTCTAGGCTACATCAAAATTAGATCTAAAGCTGTGACACAATCAGGAGTTTCACACACATTTACAGACAGGTTTTTCTGGAAGTTACTGACAGGTTTCCCAGCCTTACCGTGGCTGTGACTTTGTCCCAGTCTGTCACAAAAGCACGGAATCCTTCCCCAAAGAGCATCCCAGCTGTCCTGTGGCAAGCAAACAGCAAGCAGGAGAGAAAGGGAATTCAAGGACTCAATATTTTAAAGACAGGATTTCAGATTGTGTTAAAAGTTGTTCATGTTCAGAACAAGTCAAAGCTAAGGGCTCACCTCAGAACTGGAACATGAACAAGCATGGAAAATACATTTATAATCCTCTGATGCCTAAACCTGAGCTGGGATTAAATCCAGAAAAGCACCTGGCCTTAAGATGGTAACAATTTACTCCTTTAATGCATGATTTGTGCTGAACTGCAGGTATTTAACTCTAAAGCTTTTTTGTTCAAAATCTCAAAGGACCTAAAATCAACCAATTCCCAAGGTGAACACCCAGCCCTGAGGAGCCAAACTGCATGATACCTTTGTGATGGATGTTCTGGAAGAACTGAGGGGAACTGAAAGAACCGAGGGGTTCTCAGAGTTACTGAGCTCCAGGACTGGAGGCAAAGGCTTGAAATAATCTGTCAGAAAAATTGTATCACTCCAAATGTCTCTGGCTGTCATTCAGGTGACAATGTAGCGAGACAAACCAGAGAGGTCACACAACACTGGAATTCCCTGGAGGAACAAACCCCAGGGTCTCCCATATGTGGGGACACACTTGGAGAAGCACCAGAGGAACAAACCCCAGCTTTTCCAACGTGCTGGACACACTTGGACAAGCACCAGGCTGAAATTCCTCAAGGGAACAAACCCCAGCTTTTCTCACATGTGGGAGAAGCACCAGGCTGAAATTCCTTGGAGGAACAAAGCCCAGGTTCTCCCATGTGCTGGGACACACTTGGAGAAGCACCAGGCTGAAATTCCCTGGAAGAATAAACCCCAGCTTCTCCTACAGGCTAGGACACACTTGGAGCAGCACCAGAGGAAGAAACCCCAGGTTCTCCCACATGTGGGAGAAGCACCAGGCTGCAATTCCTCAGAGGAACAAACCCCAGGATCTCCCACATGTGGGAGAAGCACCAGGCTGCAATTCCTCAGAGGAACAAACCCCAGGATCTCCCACATGTGGGAGAAGCACCAGGCTGCAATTCCTCAGAGGAACAAACCCCATGTGCTGTGACACACTTGGAGCAGCACCAGAGGAGCAAAGCCCAGGATCTCCCAGGTGCTGGGAGACAGAAAGTGCCCCGCAGGAGCACACCCTGCCGAGCTCAGGCGCTGCCCTCACGCACCGCAGCGACTCGAGCACGGTCTGGCGGTGCTCGGCGGCCTTGAGGCGGATCTGCTCGCGGATGATGTCGGCGTTCTCGCGCTCGGCCTTGGCGCGCGCCCGCGCCTCCGCCTCCACCCGCAGCATCTCGTTCTTGTGCCGCAGCTCCATCTCCCTCTCCACGGTAGCTTGGGGGGAAAAGAACAGCACAGAGGGCAAGTTTTTGGGTGGATTAATGTGAGGGAGGAGGAAAACACCAGGGAAGTTGCAGTGCGCTGGAAGGAAGAGAAGCAAAAGGGAGCTGCCGGTCCCAGAGGGGATTTTTGGAAGCTCTGTTACTTCAAACGTGGAATTGTGTGAAAGGAGAATGAACAGGAAATTCAGGAATAAAATAACCCAACCCTACAGGGATGTTTTATTTAGGCTACATTTCCCTCACTGGATGGCAGCACAGCTGGCCACATCTGTGCTCAGAGCAAACCACCCTTCCCATCCCATCCTATTAATTAACATGAATATTTCTTAACATTCCTGAGACCTGCACCCCAGGGGAGCTCTGCAAACCCAGGAATTCTGGCAATTCCCAACAACAAAAAGAAACTAAGCAAGTTTCACACCACAACTTTTTTATTTTCTGCAGGAAACTGAATGGAGATGAGGTGACACAGATTCAGCCACTCCTCCCAGAAGATGTTTTGTTTCTTTCCCCTCCTCAAAACTGGTTCTATTTTAGATATCAGTATGAAATCAGAATTTACGAATTGCTGACAGTTCACTGGGAAATCCAGGAGTGACAGGGCACATGTTTAGGAGTACAGCCCTTTCTAAACCTAACCTTGGAAGCAATTGGTAATTTTAGCTCTCCTGGGGTTTACCTGTTCTGCCAATCTGCCACCAAACACAGCAAGGGCACAGAGACCAGCACAAGGATGCACATGGCCTCACACCCCAGCAGCTGAACAGAACACTCACCTCGCCTCATGGCCTCCTGCTTCTGCACAGATTCCTCCTGCTTCCTCAGATTTTCCTCATTGGCAAGTTGCTATAGGGAGAGATGAGAGCAGAAGAGATGCTGATGTTGTAATGACTCCATCAAGTGTAAACTTAAGTGCTACTGATGCCTCAGGTTTTGGCTTTTCTATTTTCCAGATTCTGTGCTGACACCTCAGGTTTGGCTTTTCTGTTTTTCACACATAAATCCCTGCTTTATTCTTTAGCTCTGTCCAGTCTGTTCTAGGTCAGCCTTCCCAAGGCATCACTCCAAATATTTCCAAGGAGCTGCTGCTCAGGTTGCAGTGTGTTTTCCTCTCCTCATCTCCCAGATTTCTCCTCCTAATCCCAAGCTGCTGCTTTGCCCTAATGCCCAGCCCTTGATGTGCAGTGCTGATAATAAACTGTGCCCAGCAGGCCAGGGCACAGCTCCAGAGCATCTCCTGGATTTCAGGAGGCTCCCAGCCCTTCCCAGCTGGATCAGAGCAGGAACCCACCCTACCTGCTGCCGCATCTGCTCGTCGTAGCGCTGCCGTGCCAGCTTGTCCTGGTACTGGGCTCTCTTCAAAAAACAACACACAACACACAGACCAGGCAGTTAAAAACAGCTGCTCCTCAGGGAAATGAGGTTCAGGAAGAAAAAAGACTAAATAAAACAGGACAATTCACACCAAAAAAATTATCCCGGGTTTGAATGTGAACAGGGCAAAATACCCTCAGTCAGCACCAAAATCTTCTCTGTGCTAAGAAATCTCTACAGTCTGAGTTCATTTTATGGTATCACAGCTGTCAAAACAATGAGCAAGGGTTTCTTAGCCCACAAAAGGAGACTTCAGGGGGAAAAATAAGGTTTTCATGTTCTAAACCACTTCAGCTGGACTGGTGACTGCAAGCAGTAGAAGTGTCAGGATGTGCTGATGGGCTCTGGTTTGGATGAAGATTTACTTGTTCCTCGTTAATTGCTCTTATCAACCACTGTAACCCCAAACAAACCCAAGTCATCTCCACTGAACTGGAAGTGGGCTGAGGATCCACATCCAGGGAGGACTCTGTGTCAGGGGTGACACCATTCTCTATTCCAAACACAGGGATAGCAGAACAGCTTGGGAATTATCTCCTCAGCAACACTAAAACATCCTGGAATAAACCAGCACTGAGTTTGCTGTGGTTTCAGGTAACCCACAGGGCTGCTGTGACCTCACGTGATGGCCTGTGAGCAGCAGGAGGTGAAGAACCAGCCCCTGAGAGCAGCTGAGTGTGCAGCTGCTGCCTGGGCCAGCCCTGCTCAAAGTCCAAACTCTGCCGGGGTAAAAGCCCCACGTGCCAAAGAAACATTCTAGCAAACTTCCCAAGCTGGAGAATCCATTAAAATTAACCAATTCCCTCATCTCCTGTGCTCTCAGAGTAAGAAATCCCCATAATTTAGTTTTTAACCTTAAGGCCAGACTTTGTTTTCCCTGTTTCAGGATTATTGCCACATCAGCCACTCAAGCTAAAACAAACCAGGAAGGACCAACACTGCTGACAACGACTCAGATTTGCATCACTTCTCCTCTTAAGATATTTTTTCCTGTTTAATTCAGAATAAATAAAATACTTAAGACTGAAATCCAAATAACTTCAGAGCCATTTCACTGTCCAGGCTAACATAAACAGTTGATAAAGCAGTATTTCCCAAAAAGTCCTTTAGGAAAACCCCAAAAAACACAGAATGGGAGAAACTGCTACCACCAACTCCTTTGGATGCTCAAGAACTTGGGAACAAAAGTCCAAGAGCAAAAAAAAAGTCCAAGCTTAAAAATCCAGCTCAACACCACAAATCCAGGACAGAACAGGGGCTCAGCCTCTGAACACCCCCAGAGCCCTTCTTTCCAAAAAGGAATAATTAATAAAAGGGATAATGAATTCATCACTCCAGGACAGAACAGGGGCTCAGCCTGTGAACACCCCAGAACCCTTCTTTCCAAAAAGGAATAATTAATTAATGAAAGGGATAATGAAAGGGATAATGAATGCATCATTCCAGGACAGAATGGAGGTTCAGCCTGTGAACACCCCAGAACCCTTCTTTCCAAAAAGAGATAATTAATAAAAGGGATAATGAATGCATCATTCCAGGACAGAACAGGGGCTCAGCCTCTGAACACCCCCAGAGCCCTTCTTTCCAAAAAGAGATAATTAATTAATGAAAGGGATAATGAAAGCATCATTGCTTTTCCTACAAGGGAAGGCACAAACAAGCTCTCCCCTCATGCCCTTACTGCTTGGTGCTGCTTGGTTTCTTCACTGAGGGTTTTCCTCCTCTCTTCTGCCTGCACCCGGATCTGTTCATTCTTCAGCTGTTCTATGGCAGCCTCGTACTCCTGGGGCATAATGAGAGAGTTTAATTGGCAGACACTCACAGATCACCCTCTGCAGAAATGCTGCTGACAATGCCATGCCAAGAAACCCCTCTGTATTCAGAGTGGTGCCTTTGAAAGATGGCCGCTGACACCAGGAAGTTAAAATGTGATAAAAATTAGAAATAATTAAAATAAATAGAAATAAAAATATCATAATAAAATATGATAATAAAAGCTGATGCTAGAATGTGATGATAAAATATTATCATGAAATGTAGCACTAGAATATTATAATAAAATATTATCATAAAAATTAAATTCTCACTGACCATAAGAAATACCATAATCAACCATTTCAGGATTAAACATAATTTAAAAAATTAAAATAAGAGATCAACCAACACCCAAACAATCCCTAAATTCCTTTCTAAGAGAAACAGAAGTCTGTCCTTCACCCAGCTAGTTCACAGCTCCCACAGAGACCCCCTGTCATTCCCCAAAACCAGCAGTGATCCTCCAGGAGTTACAAAACCACCCAGGACATGCAAGTTTTAACCAAAATGACACAAAATTGTGTCAGAATAGGCCGAATTAGCTGAGATTCACCTGCCAGAATTACCTTTTTTTTCTCCTAAAGGCAAATAACTACAATTTGAACCTCAGTCCCTCCCAAACCTGGCCTACCTGAGGAGTCCCAGGTGAGGAACTGCAACCCACCTTGAGTTTGGTTTGCTGCTCCAGCTGCAAGGTCTGCTCCTGCATCTGGGCCAGGCTCAGAGCATCTTTGGCATGGCCTGCAGGAGGGGAACAGATCAGGGCATGGCTCAGGCTTTCATTTTTAGATTTTTCAGACTCTGTACTGATGCCTCAGGTTTAACTTTTCTATTTTTCACATTCTGTACTGATATCTCAGGTTTTGGCTTTTCTGTTTTTCACATTCTGTACTGATGCCTCAGGTTTTACCTTTTCTGTTTTTCACATTCTGTGCTGCTTTAGTGTGTGGGTCTGGGTTCACATCAGGGCATGGTGAGCTCTGTGCACAGAGCAGGGAGACAAAACAATTCCTGCTCCAGCTGGGCACCAAGGACAAATGATCCAAATCTCAGCCCAGGAGCACAAACCCCGTGGGCTGGAGAGGGAAAAACAAGGATGGGACTGCAGGGGCTGCAGTGGGATTGGACACTGAACTGCAACCTGCACATGGAGCAGAGCTGAGCCCAGGGAGAGACCCCGTGAACCATTTGGGTTCCCCTTGGGTTCATTTTGGGACCATTTTGGTTCATCTTGGGTTCATTTTGGGTTCATTTTTTCTTATGTGGGCTGGAGAGAGGAAAACAAGGATGGGACTGCAGGGGCTGCAGTGGGATTGGACACTGAACTGCAACCTGCACATGGAGCAGAGCTGAGCCCAGGGAGAGACCCCGGGAGCATTTTGGGACCATTTGGGTTCCCCTTGGGTTCATTTTGGGACCATTTTGGTTCATCTTGGGTTCATTTTGGGTTCATTTTTTCTTATAACTACAGAAACATAAGTTTATGATTTTTTTTTTGGCCTAACATATGTGTATTGTATTTTCACACCAATCCAAGCTTCTTCCAAGGCTGTAGATTAAATCCCTCAGTGGGCTTTAGAGGTACATTAAATCCCTCAGTGTCTGTGGCAGTTTGTCTGATTCTCACACACCCCTTCTCTGCTCCCTGCTCCAGAGTGGAACAACACCCCAGGTGGAGCAATTCCTCAGGGGTGGAAGAGCCCCTCAGGGGTGGAATAATTCCTCAGGTGTGCAACAATGCTGCAGGTGTGCAACAACCCCTCAGGTGGAGAGAAATCCCTCAGGTGGAGAGAAATCCCTCAGGTGGAGAGAAATCCCTCAGGTGGAGAGAAATCCCTCAGGGGTGGAACATTCCTTCAGGTGGAGCAAGCCCTCAGGTGTGGAAAAATGCCTCAGGGGTGGCACAGCCCCTCAGGTGGAGCAATCCTTGAGGGGTGGAACAGCCCCCTCAGGGGTGGCACAGCCCTTCAAATGGAGAGCAATCCCTCAAGTGAAACAATCCCCCAGGTGTGGCACAACCCTCAGGGGTGGCACAGCCCCCTCAGGTGGAGAGCAATCCCTCAGGGGGTGGAATAATCCCTCAGGTGTGGAACAGCCCCCTCAGGAGGAGATCAGTCCCTCAGGGGTGGCAAAGCCCCCTCAGGGGTGGCACAATCCCCCAGGTGTGGCATAACCCCTCGGGTGTTGCACAGCCCCTCAGGTGTGAAGCAAACCCTCAGGTGTTGCACAGCCCCTCAGGTGGAGAGCAATCCCTCAGGGGTGGCACAGCCCCCTAAGATGGAGAGCAATGCCTCATGGGTGGCACAGCCCCTCAGGAGTGAAGCAATCCCTCAGGGGTGGCACAGCCCCTCAGGTGTGAAGCAATCCCCCAGGTGTGGCACAGCCCCCTCAGGTGTGAAGCAATGCCTCAGGGGTGGCACAGCCCCCTCAGGGGTGGCACAGCCCCCTAAGATGGAGGGCAATCCCTCAGAGGGCACAGCCCCTCCACCCGTCCCATCCAGGCGGGATCCCCGGGCTGCCCTTCCTGCCCTCCGCTCCCACATCCCTCTCCCCGCTCCCACCCCCCGAGCCCTCCCGGCCCGTCCCCTCACGCACGGGACGCGTCCAGCTCCCGCGCCGCCTTGGCCGCGCGCTCCAGGCCCGTGGGGTCGAAGTTGCTCCATTTGTCCTTGGGCGTCTGCCGGTCCCCGGCTCCGCCGCCAGCGGCAGCGGGGCCGGGCGGCAGGGAGAGGCCGGCGGCGCTGCCGGTGCCCGGGGGAGCCGCGTCCCCGCCG